ATCCATTCGATGCCTGCATTCCTCTGCAGCACACCTCTTGGTTTGAGCCAATTTGGATCAGTTGTCTTCAGCTTGAACTGCGGTGGAGTTAATGCATTCAAATGAGTATAACTCAAGTGACCATAATTTTGAATATTCTTCAGGAATCGTGTCACGAGTGGCGTCTTCTGTAGAGAGTCCTCCACAAGAATCCAATGAATATTTTTAGCCAAAATCAAAGTATGAGACAAACGGATGAGTTCTGCCTTTTGCACCAAACGATCATAAGTAGGAGTTATCACATAAATGGTGGCCAACGATGACAGCCCATCATCTCTGGTCTTCAGCACAGCGTTTGTCTGATAAGTTTGGATGTAATCTGCAAATGAAAACAATTGAAGTGATAGTGTGATGGCAGTGATGGCAGTGACAGTCGTGTCGTACAAGACTCACACAAGTTGTAGAATATGGACACAAAGAGCAGAAGAATGAGACTTATGACCAGAATTAAGAACAATTGGTTTAATTTCCTCATAAAAGTGACCACAAATTGATGGGACCATTGAGGAGATAGTTGTGGTGATGAGTGATGGCATGTATGGCATGTATGGGAACCGATGTCTGTAATGGGATCAAGAGATGGCAGTCATGTGTTGGCATGCATTGGATGCAAGAGTTGAGTGTTTGGTCTATGCTTTGAATGGTTTGTATGGTTTGCATGGATTGTATGAATGTCTTCATGAACTGACAGTCAATGCATTGAAAGAGAGCCACAGAACCGGTTCTGATGCACAAGAAGTTCAGTTCAAACTCTACTCAAACTCAACACAAACTTCAACTCAATATCACTGTATTTGTTGTCCATTTGGTTCTCATATCTGAATCAATGGTTGAGTGAGACATCACTAACCAGTGTTATGTCGAGTGATACACGTCTTGGATTATCACCGTTTATGTGCCCCAATATAATGCCAATCAGTGGTCATCGCCAATGAGTGTCACTTGCAGTACCAGTGCTTTCATGAAAAGCCCATTAGTCACCTGGGTAAGTTACCTGGCTAAGTTACCTGGCTTTGTCCACCAACTTTCTATCCTAACTATACGTCAAACTCTTAGACAACTGATACCCAAATCATAATACATTAAACTTCTTATGAAAAGTTGTATTTCAATGCAAACTAAGGGATGTGTGCTTTGAATGCTTGTGTCAGTGCTGTGCTCATCACCTCAAGTGGGTCTCTGTCCTCATGTATATGTCATGTCTGTGTATGAGTGCAATGATGTCCAGTAGTAGTATATGAATGAAAGACAACTAATGAGTGAATGAATGAAAGTGTTGTCGAGTTCCCTGACATGCATTGGAAAGGCTCTCCATTTTGCTTACATATAGTGAGACAAGTGTTGTGTTGGTTGTGCTCTCTCTCAACAACCTTATGCTGCACTCATGAGGGGAACCACAGGTGGGTCGCCCTCACCACCACATCACACATACATGAGTGTGTGTTTTGTTTATGACAGATACCCTGCTCATTTGCATACTACACCATGAGATACATAGCCCGCGGCCATCTATCTGTCAGCTATGGTGGGACGGGTGGAAAGACCCCCATATATAATGCATGGGTTGTATGGCTGCTAATGACAACCCAATGTTATGGTAGAGTAGTATTGAGTAAAACCACAACAACAGCAAAGATCGCTTGCAGTATGAGATGAAAGTCATTATAAAAGTTGCAAAAACTGCAAAACTGCTGAGTCTTTCAATTCCTGGTTAACAATGAATTCAATTATTGACTGAATATTAGATATTTGAAAGTAGTAGTATATGAATGAAAGACAACTAATGAGTGAATGAATGAAAGTGTTGTCGAGTTCCCTGACATGCATTGGAAAGGCTCTCCATTTTGCTTACATATAGTGAGACAAGTGTTGTGTTGGTTGAGCTCTCTCTCAACAACCTTATGCTGCACTCATGAGGGGAACCACAGGTGGGTCGCCCTCACCACCACATCACACACACACATACATACATGAGTGTGTGTTTTGTTTATGACAGATACCCTGCTCATTTGCATACTACACCATGAGATACATAGCCTGCGGCCATCGTAGTGTCAGCTATGGTGGGACGGGTGGAAAGACCCCCATATCTAATGCATGGGTTGTATGGCTGCTAATGACAACCCAATGTTATGGTAGAGTAGTATTGAGTAAAACCACAACAATTACAGCAAAGATCGCTTGCAGTATGAGATGAAAGTCATTATAAAAGTTGCAAAAACTGCAAAACTGCTGAGTCTTTCAATTCCTGGTTAACAATGAATTCAATTATTGACTGAATATTAGATATTTGA